TTCACACAAAAAATCTAACCTCCCATGGCACAAACGTCAGAATATTACTTTAGTTTGACTTCACGCGTGTGTTATCAAAGTGATCACAGATAGTTGCACTTATGGCAACATTGTTATTTGACCATTTTCACATTTTGGAGTTTTATGTATAAAATGCTCTATCTAATAGTAATAAAACATTTATATTTTATCCGAGATTTTCTCCGTAATATCTTAATTTATAAACCACATTCTTTGAATACCTGATATATAAATTAAACTGGTTATATTATAAAAGAAGTTTTAAATGACCGTAGTAGTATTGCATAGAAATATTAGTTAGTCCATTTTTGTATGTATATGTAAGTATATACGAAGTTTTATGAATTTGCATATAAAATTGATAAATGGCGATGCACACTATGCAGAAAAATGTGCATCACAGTTAAATGTATTAAATTATCATGCATTGTTTCAACAGCAACAGAAATACTTACTTTACATGTCCGACGCAATGTTTTGTTAAAAAAAAGTCAATTAAAATCACTATACACGGACACTTTACTACCCCGAAGGACCAGATATAATTAATTATCAAAAAGCTATATCAAACATAAAATAGCAAACAACTGAAAGGAAAATAATAACTAGTTCAGTAATCATTTGTATTTAATTTTAGTTAGTTGTATAAGGTGTGATCGGGCCAAGGTATAAGTACAGAATGAAAAATTTCTTATAACTAGCTTAGTGCCTATACTAGGGTAGGAAATTATTTTATTATGTCAGGTAGAGGAAGATGGATTAATAAAATTTGTGAGGCTCGAACAACTACTTTACCTATAAACTGTTAGTAGAAGATCTCACCTAATGTTTGATGAGAGGTAACCCATCACATACTACCATTCTCTTATTTGTGGGCTTCATATTAGCTCTTACGTCTAATTGTTGTCATATAATAGAATGTTGCAGCTATGTACATCAGAGACTATTTTCCCTTGAAAATATGTTGAGATCTATAACCTCAAGTGGAAGTTTGACATCAAAGCTGCCTGATGTCGGAATTTGGCGGTGGTGGTAATCGAACCATCGAACCCCGGACTAGTTGCTATGTCCTAAACGATTACCCCCACTGAGACTTTTTCAAATAAATACAAATCAAACAAATGTTTGTGCAAAACGCGCAAAGTGTTCTTGCTTGTGATTCTTATTTGACTTAAAATACTGTCCGAAACAATTTAATTGTTTTCGCAATCATTCTCAGATTATATAACACAAGTTGGCATGTATATAAGCCGTTAATTCGTAACACAAATCAGAATTTAATGTCGATATAATAATCCAGCCTTAATATCTTAGAAAACCATCTCTTCTATATTGTTAAGGATATTCGAGATATTTCAAGGTATAATCCTTCTAATACCTTCGAACACGGCGCGATTCAGTCGTCCGGGTCTTGATGTTCTTATTAAGCGATTAGCAATAAGTACTTCTACAGTAGCGATAAGCGGACGCCTGCGAAGGCGAAGGAGTTATCGTTCGAGAGACGCGCGGCGCCCGACGCCCTTCTTGCGTGATTAACATGCGCCATCGATTGTATCGTCGTTGACAAATTTATCGTAATTATTCATAATTGAACGTGCAAGATTTATACAAGAAAATCGGATCCTGTACAATAAATTATATGTACTTCGTCGATTTTTATTAGGTTCATGGTATTTTCTGTGATATGCAAAACTGTATTGAAGAAAAATGTTTTGAATACAACGCAGTAAAAGTGCATTATATTTTATTATATTATATTAGCAAATATTTGTGATAAGGTTTGATATTTATGAACTCCATAAATATAAGTAGTATAAATATTGTAATGTATGTGAATAAAAACAAAAAAATTGAATTGAACAAAAACTTCTATATACAAACAAGCTCAAAACGAATACAGTTAGCAAATTTATCGCAATTATTCATAATTAACGTACAAGATTTTATAACAAGAAATCGGATCTTGCAACAATAAATCATACGTACTTCGTCGATTTTTATTAGGTCCATTGTATTTTTCTGTGATATGCAAAACTGTATTGAAGAAAAATATTCTGAATACAGCGCAGTAAATGTGCAATTAGCAAATAATTGATAAGGTTTGATATTTATGAACTCCAAAATATAAGAAGTATAAATATTGTAATATACTCTAATAATACGTGAATAAAACAAAAAAAATGAATTGAAGAAAAACTTCTATATACAAAACAAGCTCAAAACGAATACAGTTAACAAAATTTATCCAATTATTCATAATTGAACGTGCAAAATTTATACAAGAAAATCGGATCTTGAAACTATAAATCATTCGTACTTCGCTGATTTTTATTAGGTTCATGGTATTTTCTTTGATATGCAAAACTGTATTGAAGAAAAATATTCTGAATACGGCGCAGTAAAAGTGCATATTAGCAAATAATTAAGATTTGATATTTATGAACTCTAAAATATAAGAAGTATAAATATTGTAATATACTCTAATATACGTGAATAAAAACAAAAAAATGAATTGAAGAAAACTTCTATACAAAAAAACAAGCTCAAAACGAATACAGTTAACAAATTTATCGTAATTATTTATAATTGAACGTGCAAGATTTATACAAGAATATCGGATCTTGCAACAATAAATCATGCGTGCCTCGCCGATTTTTATTAGGTTCGTAATATTTTCTGTCGTAAGCAAACTCTATTGAAGAAAAATATTTTGAATACAGCGCAGTAAAGTGCATATTAACATATAATTAAAAAGGTTTGATATTTCTGACTCCATAAATATAAGAGATATAAATAATGTAATATCTCTAATATGCGTGAATTAAAACAAAAACTTGAATTGAAGTAAAACTTTTATATACAAAACAAATACAGATTTATGATATCTAATTGCATGGTCAGAATACATATTAAATATTTTAACTATCGGTTATATTGAAACTGTTAAATACATATTTTCTGAATTTAAAGAAAATTAAATCATATATCGAGGTAACACGTTTTTATGTCAATTTATTAATAAATTGTAAATTTAATTAGTTAAAATATTATATATAGGGTAGGACAGGACATGAAGATCCAATTTGACTTTGAGCAATTATATTGTGAAAACCAAATCAATTATATCAAAACAAATAACGCATAGGTATCAAATAAACCACTATCGGACTATGTTCAGCAACACTCCCAAAAATTGAATATGGAAATTGCTTTAAACTACTTTTGTTGTTTAATATTATGATAGCAATTTCGTTTGCTTCTTTTGTTAGACTTTTTGACCATCGATCTCTCTGCAGTGATTATTTTTCTTTACACTTTATGCTAATATCTTATAAAAATTATTCTAATTAATAATAATATTCTAGTTATTAATATACTAATTTATTATGATACTTGAATTCATTTAGAAATTTTAACTGGTTTCAATAATTGATTAAAAACATTCACCTATGATATAAAATATTATATACATTAACTTGAGCAGACTAATGAACTTTTCGTTGAATTTCTTTTCTTTTTTTTTTTCTTTCGTTGAAAAATATAAGGACAATTCATCTAATAAAATATAAATGTTATGTTACAGGTATCGTTGAAAAATCGTATGGGTTGGTAGTCACGATTAGTGTTAGAACGAAATATCGAGTACTGAGTAATATCGATACTTTGCGGTCGATAGTGAGTACTTTTGGTATCGATTTTTTAGCTCGATATGTTTGCCAATATCGATCTTTTACGTCGATAGTACTCAAAAAGAATCGACAGCGTAATCTATGAACCCCACTTATCGACCAACTATGAAACCAACCATTTTGCCGAATGCAATGCAATAGTCTCTCTAGGTGGTCATAATTGTTCAGAGAAGTGTCAAAAAATGATCCCGAAGGGTCATTAGTCTCAGAATTTATTGCTCAAAAACCCAAAATGGATATGACCACACTAATAAATAAAGATGTTTATTTATTACTCTTTTGTAAAATGAAACGCCTTTTTAAAGTACCAAATGTTTTATAAAAACATATTCAACAATCGAAGTATGATTATTTCAAATAATAATATTCATCAATTTCAATATATTAGTATTTTGCGTAAAAAAGAATCGAAATATAATTATTTCAAATAATAGTATTCATCAATTTCAATATATTAGTATTTTGCTTAAAAAAGAATTGAAATATAATTATTTCAAATAATAATATTCATCAATTTCAATATATTAGTATTTTGCGTAAAAAGAATCGAAATATAATTATTTCAAATAATAATACTCATAGATTTCAATGCGTTATTATTTTTCTTTCTAAAAGTATGTGAATTGTAAGTTGAAGTAAAGTACTTGTAAATTAAAATTAAATAAACAATTTAAAAAGAACAGAAGAGCAATATTTTCTTTGTGGTACGTGAATCTTAAAATGTCTCGTTTTCAGTTTGTGCACATTATGAACATATTTTAGGAATCGGATTTCAACTGACCTTTTCTGAATGAATGACAACAAAACTAAAGAATACTTTCTTTAGTATAGTGGGCAAAAAACTTTTAGAAAATAATAAATTAATTTGGTTCTTGTGGCAATTGTTTGCACTGAAAAATATTAAAATATGATTGTGCTTAAAAATACTTAAAAAGTATTGCTTTTTGAATATAGTATCAGAATATTATATTGTTTTAATCAAAAATAATCAACTATTATAACTTGTCTTTTTTTTGAAAAATTATAGAATTTGAAATTAGTATTGAAAAATTACTGTTAAATTTTACAATATTGAAAATGATTCTGATTTAACACATCAGATTACAAGCAATAGAATTCATTCTGATATTGTGATATAATATTTAATGAGTTTTAGATCTTTCTTGCACTTATGTTTGATTTTTATGAAAAGTACTCAAAATTCGATATTGAGTAATATCGATACTTTTGCCACGATATTTTTTTGGCATCGATATTTTGATTAGATACTTTTCAAAGTACTCAATATCGATCTTTTGCCTCGATACTTCTAACACTAGTCACGATCAGCCAAAAATCTATGCATTTGCTTTTCAATCGAGCGTTCCGCACAAAAAAACCTAACCTACAAATGGCACAAACATTTTATATTAACTTTCAATTATTAATTTATCATTGTAGTAATATTCTTTCACTGTGTTTCAAAAATTTGTCACTTGTTTCTTTTGCGAAATAATTTTTTTTTAAACATTTTTCAGCCAATGCAAAATTAAATTTTATGGGTACATTTTTACAAAGATAACACTGTATATAACCTTGATGTGGTATTTTGTCAGAGATATTCATCGGCTAAGTTGGAATAACTATTTATTCAACTTATTTCTTTTAAAGTTGATTTTTCTAACTTAATTTACTTTTTGTTCACTTTATTTTATTGTTTACACCTTTGCCAGGGCAAAGGCTTAGATTGTTTTTTCTACCCTACCCACATGCAGGCTTTTAAAGAGATTATATTAAAACAAACTTAAATCAAACTTAAAAAATAACAATACATCTTATAAAACATTTAAATAACATAGACATAAAATTAAATATTATACAAATTATATAAATTATATTATATAATTATATAATATATAAATTATTAATTAAATTATTAATAAATTATATAAAGGAGTTTTAAGCTAAACAAAGGTGCTCACGACCAAAAAAACTAACAATGATAGAAATACTTTCGTTAAGAATTTTCAAATATTGCCATTTTTCTTTCCGGTGATCTGGTTATACATTTTTTTTTCTTTTCTGAATAAAAAGAGCTAAATGTAAACATATAAATATTAAATATAATACTCATAATAAGGTCTAATTAACAAATTATTTATTAACGACTAGTTACGGATAACTCAGTGCTCACTATTATTTGATGAAATATAAATAAAGCTTTGCAATTTAAATAATGATAGTTTGTTGTTATTAGCTAAAAGCATTGAATTTTTGCTGGCTTCTGCAATATTGCATTTATTACAATAATATATATGATTAAATACAATATTCCAAATTGATAGCCAATTTTCAAAATCTCTGACGATGCTTAGTAGATTTTGTGTTTTCAAATTCGTTTTTTCTTTACAGTTTTTTTGTTGTTGTTCATTACAGGACAGGCGTAAAAATTACTATATGATAAAAAAATATAAACATAGTGTTTAATGTTTAAGTGATTCTAGAAATGTTTAAACAGATTTCAGTGAATAAATATGAAAACTTAAAAAAATGACCATAAATCACTGCTGCAGCATTTATGAGAATAGTCTAAAGATAACTTGATACTTTATGATATATATCCAATATAATATAAGATAATATATCCAATTTTCTATATTTATGCAATTAGTGTATTCGTTAATTGCAATGGACTTAAAGTTAAACTCGAAACAGCATTTTCCGAATTTGCTGCAGTGATTACTCAAAAACAAATGATCCCATCACTATCGAATTTTTTCACATGTTCTATATATAGTTCTCCGTACAATGACCTATCGATTTTTTTATCTGTATAAAATCGAATTTTGGCAGGCCAAAAACGATTAAAATTTTGGGTAAAACTCGACTATCTTTTTTAACATACCGCCATACTGTTAATTTTTTTATTTTTATCGTAGGTCATTGTACAGACTATTATCTAGTTAACGGAGAAGGCTGCAATCACTCCAGCAGTGGAGGACCTTTTTTTGGCGCCGCTGGAGATTGCATGTCATTTCAAAAATATTTAATATTTTATTTCAAAAATTTTACTGTGTATTCTCAAGACATGTATAAATGTACTCTCAAAATTTTAAATAAAAATAAAGTATATTTTGTTTTTTTTTTCAGGTATTAGCATCATGTGGCCCGATGAGTGTGTCATTTTTCACCGTGGTTGTGTTTTTTGGTTCATTCTACCTCATAAACTTAATGCTCGCCGTCGTCGCGCTGAGTTACGAAGAGGAAGCGGAAATTACGCAAGAGGTGATTTCCAAAATTCCATTACAACTTTGTGCGTAAAAGTTGTATAGGGCTGTAGAAAAATATAGGTTCCGGATTAGTAATCTTAGTGGAAAATTATTGTCGAAACAATTCTAGTTTAGTTCCAGTCGATCGAAGTTGTTTATTTTGATCCATCCAGTGAAGTAAAAATCTTTATCTATCATACTTTTGAGCAGTATAAGAAAACATAGTTTATCCGTAATAAAAATTTAATAGTAATACGTTATTATCAATTTTTTTTACATAGGCCATGATTACTTTATTAGATATTTTAGTTAAAATGTATCAAGAAAACTTAATATATTAGAAAACAGTGCGCGATTGAAGTAAAACTTATTTGCTACTGTACAAAGTAGCAAATTTAGGTTAAGTAAAAATAAATATGTACATCATATAACAATTTTGAATAATGTTTATTAGTAATATGGTAACATTCGTGATGCACACATTTATTAGTGTCAACCATTATACACATTTATATAATGATAAATTATAAAAATTATATATTTATAATAGCATTAAAAATATGTATAATATTTAATAACAATAATGTAATTAAAGTCATTCTTCAAATATGACATGATCGGTTTGTCATTGTAATTAGCATTTAGAAATGAACCTTAATTAGAAAAATAAAGTAATTGCTGATTAATAAATTCTATAATATTCGTTTACACAGTGGATTATATTAAACAATGCCTAAACAAATATTGCTATTGCAACTTCATCACTCATCATGTAATGGTGTTTGAAGAACTTCATGTAATTAAAATTACCATACATTCATTTAATTCTTCTGATTCAGGCATTTTTCATTAAATCAAGATTAGTACTACGATGTAACTTTAAAATGCTTATTTATCTATGTCGATTTCCTTGTTGGTATCGGTAAGCATACAACGTCGATGCCGGTACGCATACAACTACAGATCTCCATTCACATACACGACGTCTAATCACAATCGACCCGTATAGAAATGATATCAAATGTCTAATCATTGGCACTGGACTCTTATCTTATCGACTCTTATCTGCCGTAACGCCTTCTATTACATTTATAGGAATTTACACCCTAGCTGCGCCTAAAGAAGTTTTACTTGAAAAAAAATTTCTAAAATTTGTGGAAAAACACTATTTTATGTAACACTATGACCTAAATAAATAAAATTTTAAAACCTTTTTAATAAAAATCTTGGTCTCATACCAAATTGCGTATATCAGACATATTTGTGTAACATGGCTCATGTGAAACTTCTTAGTGTCAGACACATATAACTGACATAGCGTTAATAATATTAATTAATTAATTTAAGGTACTAGTTATATATAGAGATTTCATCGTTCCTATTTTCAGAGACTTAAATATACTTTCCAAAAATTTATTAGGTTTTCAATTATTAGGGTTTCAAAGGTGATTATTATATTAAGCTATATTTTCAAAAACAAAACATTGATTATTTATTAAATTAATTAATAATAATTGCAAAAGCTCACATTGAATAATGATTCCGCTTGGTAAACATATGAAAACCTGAATACATTCATTTGATTAAATTTATTTATGATAATAAATGAATTGCACGAATGCAGGTGTTATAAACATAGTTATCGTTTATCATTATTAATTAATGATACTATTGAGTATCGCTTATGTTTTGTTTTAATTAGAGATGCTGTATTTCATGCATTGGCATTTTTACTACATCTTTTTTACATTTTAATATTTATACAAGTTGATATTTTCTTTTTAATGTCAAGTCAACATGTTTTTTATATATAAATAAATACATTTATATATTGATATCAGAATGCTCTTCGAAATATTCTGTTATAACAAATCAATAAAAGATATTTGCTTTCAATTTCGCAGGAACGTAAAAAAGATCTTACAGAGCACAGAGATGATTCGACATTTAGCTTCGATCCTTCATGTCTAGATGTACGAAAATTAGACAAAAATTCTCAAAAAAGAATAGATGCCAGAAAAGGTGTACTTCTAGCTTCATATTCCAGGAAAAAAATGAGGCGGAAGAAAAGAGGAAGACATGAAGGAAATGGCGGAAATGGTAATGATTTACTTATTAACTAAATAATTGTTGGTTTGATGACATACTTCTAAAAAATACTTTGGCTTTGAAAACATAAACTAAAAACTACTTTTGTCTAGTATTGTTGAAGAAAACGTATTTACTTTTCTTCTTCAAATGCGCAAAAGCACTATGACTCATCATAAGTCGCTTTTAATGGAAGTGAATAAAATTTCCATATATCTGAAGAAAATGTAAATAAATCCAGCGCTGCACTAGCATGAAAATTTTAATAGTCTTAAAACACTCTGAATATTACAGTTTCAGGCTTTATATCCACAGTTTTTCATATAATAGAGCTGTCTATATGCAATTTTCAGTTTTTTCTTATAAAGAGAGCGAAACTTCTTCGTTTTATGTGAAAGAGGTATAGTAATTAAACTAAGGTTTTAAAGTAAGATGAGTTTTAAATTACTTATTAACTAGTTAACTATGATGGACAAATATACTCGTTAGGGAAGTGACAGGTGTATTGACGAGTATACTCGACGCATATAAAACACTGACCATTTGCAATTTAACTAAATTTTTTGAAAAACAGAATATATTTTAAATATCAAGTCGTTTTGATATTTTGAGGCTATCTTTGTATAAAAGAAGTAGTTGTAAGTGGTATTTTACTTTAAGGCAAGTTACATGATCTTCTCGAAAAGTGGAAATTATGTTTTTAATAAGAATTGAAATTTTGCATAACATTTTCTACTGTTCATTTTGAAAATAGTTTTGAGTTTTTATTAAAAACTGTTCTTACTTTTTTACAACTGCATATATAATACTTCATGGATATTAATTTGTTTAAGGTCAATAGGTATGTAATGCTTATGTAAACAGAAAGTAGAATGTAGTATCTAATAGCATTTTTTAATTTAATAACATTCGTAATATGAACCAATACTAATATAATACTATATTATTATATTATATTAGTATTGGTAATATTTTTTATACAATAAGTTGTCGCAACTTATTCTGTGTACGCGAATATACACTCGATTTGGACGATACAAAACTGTGCCCAATATTCGAAGTGAGCAACACAGTTAACTGGTTATCACTTCATATTCTAAAATTTCCTGGGAAACATGATATTTGTGAAAACATGATAAAAAAGAATGTAACATGTCTAAATATGTACATACATACACACGTCAACGTCATAACTAGTATTTGATCAGTAACTTGATTCTAATAGTGTCATCAAATAATTAAATTGATAACTTCTTTAATTTCCCGTAGGTTAATATATAAGTGATAGTAATCGCAAAAAAATGAAAATATTTTTTTATATATCTTTACGTTTCAAAGGTTTCTGAACATTTTTCCATACCTTATATTTTAAAAAATGGATGTATGTATGTGTGTGTTTGGATACTAATTATTGTCTACGATTACTGGAACACGGTTCACCCATTTGAATGATCAAAAATATTCTATTCCTATTGATAGGAACATTGCTGATTAGTTTTTTGGCACAGGCAGGCCTAGCCATTTCGAAGATACGATACAAAAGTGCCAAATACGGTGCCTCAGTTTTTAAGAGAACAGAGCGTCCGTTTTAATAATTCAAAAAAATACTTGATTTTATAAAAGAAATAACTGATTAAAATTTTGGGAGGCAGATCTAGCGGTTTTTTGAGATCAAGAAAAAAAGTAAAAAGACGATTTGGCGGTCAAAAATGATTATAGATATTCACATATTTTATAGAGATTTTAATAATAAGTAAAAATTTGTTTACATTTCTATTGGTTCAGTAAATTGCTTGTCCGTAAGACTACGATGCGCAATTGCTTTGAAAAAAAGTTCAAAATTCCCATTATATTTCAAAATATTAATTTTTTTTAATAAAGTCAATGTGTTAAAAAATTCAAAACATAAAAATCTTTTTTTTTCAAATATATATATTTTTAATTTAATATTGTTACTGAAAGTTCCCTTAAGGCACGATGCCATACACCACTAGTTTAGTATATTTATAAAATAATAACACTGGTTACAGCTCAAGTTTCTTTTCCATTATACAGGTAACGGTATGAGATCGGCGACACCATCACCTTCGCCATCTCCTCGTCGAGACGCCGTAGTAGCCGAATCACAGGGTGCTCCGCCGCCGCCTCAAAAATTATCCCCTGAACCCCAACAAAGGGCTCGAGCTCCCCAAGCACCAAGGGTAGTGCTTTTATCCGGTGTGAAGGACCACAAGAGAGATCTGCTGATACGCTGCATCCGTGTAATGCATTGGTAGTTATTACCTATAATTATAATATAATGAATGTCTAATGTATGTGTATTCATATGAATTTCATATAGGTCCTCAATACCGTGGTCAATTAGGACCCCATAGCCGTCAAGCGAGTAGTAACAATAGTGCTGGCAATAATCGCGAATCTTCTTTAGATGACAGTGGTGTAGTCATGACCATTGCGATGAAGACGCTACTAGTGAAGACTTAGCGCCTGCTCATGTACATAGCGTAGTTCAGGTAATAATACCTGTTATTAAAATTTTAGATTTCACACATGTACAAAGCATATGCTTATATGCACTTTAATTATTTCAATAAATTGGCAATTGTATCAAAATATATTTTTTTTCTTATATAAATGTGTAGTAACAGTCTTTTAAGGTTGTAAAGAACACGCAATAACATTTTTAATATTTTTTCCGTTTTTATAAGTAACCGCAATAATTTTCTTGTACAAAATGTTTTGCTCGTAATCTTACTAGTTTGAAGCAGAGAACTGCTACAATTTTATGTATTTTGAAATTTGATTTAATCTAATACGTCTGCATATTAACCTTTATATATATATATATATATATATATATATATATATATATATATATATATATCTATAAAATAATATAAATAAATTAATATATATATATATATTATATTCCTTTATTTCTATTTATTTTTTTATTATTTTAACAATTGTATTAAATTGCCTATAATAAAGGTGACCACACGTCCCGAGTATTTCTATAGCATATTTGTTTCGGATTTTGATATTCTGTCCCGATTTTTTAACACTATAGGTTTAAATTTTTTTACATTTACTTGATAAGAAAAATTACAACTACTGGTCAAATTCTGAAAATGTTATATTCAAGGAGTATGCTTATATTAAACAATACGTTATTATTAAGAAAATTTCCGAATACAAAATTCCAAAAACAGTTTAAAACAGCATCTCACATTCATAAATTGGAATTTTTATTCCAATTTTATGGATATTACCAAAAATTGTGAGAACTATCTTTCTGAATGTCTGGCATAGGTGCTAATTTTTTCAAGACAATCATGAAGACAGAATTTTATACAAAGTTTAAAAGCGAAAAACATATAATTCAAAATAAAACTTTCTTACCCAAAGTCAGTGTTTTTGATATTAAAAAATGATTCCTTTAAATTAACTAATTTTATTGCATTCTTTAATAGTATTTATTATTTCAAATCACATTTAATTATTTACCATATTTCCCATTTACCGATTACCATAACTAAAAATTACCGTCTACTTTACTAATAATACATAAATCTTACTAATTATACATATAAATCGAAGAACAAATATTATTTAAAGTTAGTTTCAAAAATATAGCATAAAGTTTTATTTAGAGGCTAATCCTGGTATGAAAGTCCAGGATGTAGGATGTAGTGTAAATGTTTTATGCAACTTTTAAAATTTGTTATTTCACATTTATCTAATATTTAAAAGCAATTTGTTGAATAGCATATCACCATTTATCTAAAGTATTATTAAATGACCAAGCGAGCTTTAAAATATACAGTTATAATAAATTTTAATTAATTATTTAAATCTAGTGTAAATGAATAACATGACATATTGTTTACTGAAAAATTATACCAAATAAGTCTACTGTATGAATGAAGTACGATTGAAATTAATTAGAAAATTAATTGAATTCAAGATTGGATATGTAGTAACAAGTCATTTATGAAACCGTTAATCATAAATAATTTATATGATTTAAGGATAGTTTCTGATATATATTAGTATATATGTATATATATATATATATTATATTATATATATAAATCTATATCTAAATATATAATGCTAAATGCTATGTCGTTTATTTTCCAGTTACAAAAAGAAGTAACGCCAGTTACTGTGGCGTTAACACAGAAAAGACGGCCGAATCGTGCGTTGCAACGGCGTCAACGCGAACAGAAATTAAGGAAACAGCAAATGTACAGCTTGCCGCCCGAATATATGTCGCAAGTTGTAGTTATAGGTATACATATGTAAAAGTTTCATCATTTTTCTCATGTAAAAGATGTGACTTTTAAATTAAATCTTTTTTGAAAAAATATAGTAATTTAATACCCCTAGATTATAGGGTCGCGGGCCGCTAATTTGACATCCTTGTCCTAGAAGATAACAAACGGATTATTCGAAGCGATTTAAAGCTAATCAATCAAATCTATCTATATCTGATAAACTTGCAAATATTCAAATAAAATATGGAAATAAATAATGATACCCTCCTTAAATTCATTTGCTGGATAAATAAGTTTAATATCAATAGAATTCTGCATGTATTTGTTAACACTTTATTGTGATTAAATATGTTGATATATAATAATTTTATTATGTTTGATAGTTATTTATCAATAAATTTTAAGTATTTAAAAGCAGTTTTTTTAAGAATTAGCTTTATTTATATAATTGTTTTTATTATCCATATTTTCATTTCATATATTGACCTCAATATTTTTTCTCTAGATGATATACCAGATCGAAACTGTGCAAGATGCGTTCATTGTTGCATAGATTATGCAGGATGGTTACAATTTCAACAATGTCTCTATAATATAGTAAGAGATCCATTATTTGAATTAGCTATAACGATATGCATTGTTCTCAACACCATGTTTTTGGCCGTCGAACATCATGGAATGAGCAAAAGCGTCGAACGAGCTTTAGATATTGGCAATAAGGTAAAAAAAATTATCATCATATTTGGTCACTTTGTAAATGATATGTTCTAAAATATCTTTTTGGTATTTAGGTTTTTACTTCCATCTTCACTTTTGAGTGCTTCCTGAAAATCCTAGCGTTAAGCAAGGATTTTTTTCTGTGCGGGTGGAATATTTTTGATCTTATAGTCGTATCCGGTAGTTTACTCGATTTGATATTTGAACTTGTGGATGGTCTATCAGTATTAAGAGGACTTAGACTAGTACGTAGAAAAATCAACAAAAATATACAGTAAGGACTAAATTTTAATATTTAATTAAATATTTTTTTTTATTTCTTTCAGTTGCGAGTGTTAAAATTAGCTCAGTCATGGACGACAATGAAAGTTTTGCTCAGTATTATAATTTCAACAATAGGAGCATTGGGAAATCTGACATTGTGTTAGTGATAGTTATTTATATTTTTGCTGTGATTGGTATGCAATTATTCTCAAAAGACTACACACCGGACAAGTTTTTTCCGGATCCTGTTCCCAGGTTAGTTGTAATTTATTTGTCTATAGTAGGTAGTAGTATTTTGCCCGTAGGCCATGTTATAGTAATCGCAAAAAATCGAAAATAAAATTTTTATTTATCTTTACGTTTCAGAGGTTTCTAAACATTTTTGCATACATTAGAAAAATGGATGTATGTTCGTGTGTGCGTATGTGTGTGTGCGGATACAAATTTTGCGTCGACTATTTTGCGAACACGGATCAACCGATTTGAATAATTATAAAAACATTCAGTTCCTACTGATGAGGTGACGTGCTGATTGTTTTTGGCAAAGGCAGATTTAAGCCTTTCGAAATTACGGGCCAAAAAGTGCCAAAAATGGTATTACAGTTTTTGAGATAATGGAGCGTCCGATTTAAATAATACAAAAACATTGGACTTGTATTGACGAAATGAACAAATGATAAATTTTTAAAAATACAGGTTCAGCTTCTCCGGAAATCCAAAAAAAGAAGACAAAATAGGAAATAGGCTTATGTATATAGTATTATTAGATATTTTATAAAGATTATAATTTTGTGTACATTTATATTGGTTTCGACCCAATGTTTAACCGTTAGACAACTACGCGGCGCTTCCGCGAATTCATATTTTGACTCCAAATGCAGCGCGATTGCTCAAAAAAAGTGTTCAAAATTAAAAAAAACAGGATACAAAAAAAATGAAATTTTTCAACAGGGTCATTTTTTTTCAAAAATCTAATTATTTCAAAGTTTTTTTTAATAATCTAGTTTTTGGTACGGAAAGTTTCTGCAATTTGCCTTAAGGCACGATGCCATGCCCCACTAGTTTGTTACTTAGTATTGGTTCATTCATTCATTAGTTATTTTACATTGCGTCTAATAAATCAACTAGAACTATTATATTTCATAATAGCAACAATTATATGAAAGACAATAGTGATATAGTCGAAGAGCCAGTGAACAATTTGACTTTTGTTTTCCCAAGCTAGATTTTTTTTAATGATATTTTATATAGGAAAGACAATTAGGAATGCCAAGGCACAAAAATATAGCCGCACTTTAGAATCGCTTGTATTTTATATAATTACGAATTAAATTTAATTTATTTTTAACTAGTAGACTAGTGGTTTCTTCGACCTTAATTTTCCAGGTGGAATTTCAACGACTTCTTCCATTCATTCATGATGATCTTCCGTATTCTCTGCGGCGAGTGGATAGAGCCGCTATGGGACTGCATGAGAGCTGAGGAGAAAGTAGGGGCTGGATCTTGCTTTGCAATTTTTCTACCAGCTCTCGTCATGGGCAATTTTATGGTACTCAACTTGTTCTTGGCGTTGTTGCTCAACAGTTTCAACAGTGAGGAATTGAAAAATAAGAAGGAGGTTAGATATTAATAATTTCATGAATAATAATTTCTCTATTTTGCACAGAAAATACTCAAAATTCTCCTTAAAAAAATTAAATATTTTATTAAATTTTTAGTAATGCAATGGATCGGGTTTTATCTATGACAATATTTAGCGATTAATTATTACTATTTTTTAGATTATTTGAATTTCATAATCTAAATTAAATATTAAACTTTTTCTATAAAATTGCCATTATATTTTCTGTGCAAAACTAGCTTTACAAAACTGTGTGCAGTTTTTTGAATATTTTGATTGCTCACACTTGGTGTTAGATTTTTTCTACAGTGACAAAGTTTTTTTATGTCTTAGATGTTTTCAACAAGTCCATAAAACAACAATATGATTATTCAGTAAAATCTATTATAATATAAAATCCTAATACATTTTTATTCACTATATTATATAAATTACTATTTTAATTATAATTTTTTCACTTATTGTGTTTTATGGATTAAATATTACTGATTTTTGACTGTTTTTATGTTTAATGTTTGTGGCATATTATCTTATATTATTATGATTATAATATGTCATAAAATATCTTTCTGCTATAACTGTAATTAAGTTTTTTTTAAAAAATTGAGAATATTTATTGAAATTTCAAGTCCTAAAAATTAAAGTTTAAAATATTAATTTTTGCATTCTGACTAAGAATTTATTATAATTAATTTTCTCCTATTTTTGTCGTAGTTTGATGTTGTTATTGTTTTTCTTGTATTCAGAAATTCGCGCAGAAGAGCAAGGTAAAGTACTCGAAGAATCTGTTAAAGGTAACTCTTTAAATCTCGCATGATTAAATCTTCAATCAGCTTTTGTACATAATGCTTTTAATTTTCATTACTAACCTAGGTGCAGTAGGTGAAATTTTATTATTTACCATATTAATGAACAATGGTGGAGATACATTATATTACATAGAATTAATATTATGTCTATATAGAATAACATTTTGTTTGAAAAATTTAATTACAAATTATGTACTTGGTGATCAAAACTCTAAGTCATTCATAAATTTAGAAACTTATTTATTATTTTAGTGTATAAATTTTATTTAATTTTTAATCATTCCAAGCAAAACAAGAAATACAATAATAATAAAAATTCATTAGGTAGCTCATTCGCAGAACTCTATTTGTAAATGTTTTGAACTTAAAATAATTTAAAAAAAATTAATTTCAATTAATCACCGTCATAATTTGTAATTACCTACTTAATGCTGATGATGCAAAATTATTAAATATATAATATGTATTCAAAATTTAATGCGCCCAATACTAGCTTAATATTTAGTAAATAGGTACTGTACATATTTTTATTAAAAATTATGTAATGATTAGTTATATATCACACATTCACACATATTCAACACATATACATACCATGTATATATTAAAACATTTAAAGTAGTTCAAAGTAATATTTTTGGATGTATATATAAAACAAGTCTAGCAGTAAAATCATTTAAAAGCTTTGATTTATTTACGTCTAGTAAAAAAAAATCAATACGTTTTAGTATTGAAAATATACTTTAAATCACGTATATATATTAACACGATAGCATCACACGTATTTATAAATATTTATCATATTTATGCTGGTACATCATAATATTTAGTAGTTAACCTACAAAATGGAATGTTTAACAGTATTAACAAAATATTTTGCATTTAGATTATATTCTTCATTATTTTTGCATGCGCAGAATCAAACTAATAAACTGGATATTACTAACCAAGTTAACTTGCACTATCATCATTTGAATTTAAAATGCTCCAAAAAAATTATTTTATGTTTCCTGACAAAAATATACTTTTTTACGCGCTACAAGTTGTCGACAAATCTAAAAATACAATATATTGAACATAATATTACAATCACCACAAGACTGTACACTGATACTACAACACCACTACGATTTATTTATTTATTTTACTATTTTAATAATTTTGACCTCAGCAACTCAGAACATCAGGATGCAGTAAACAACAGCATTACATTAAACAAATAGTTTTTTTTAATAATACTCACTTACTAACTGTTGTTTATTTCAATTTATTTAGGAAGTCGGTGAAGATTCCAAATTAGCTCGCAGTTTCGAACGAATACGATCCATAGTACGCAAAAAACGAAGCAAAGAACGTTCAGAAAATGAAAAAAATACACAACTTGAACAAATAGTATTAGATCAAGTCGTAGTCAGAAGAAGAAGAAGACGAGATAACGTTGGAGATGCTAGAAAAATTGATCCAGAAACAAGATATTCTATAATTTCTACCGGAATACCGCACGATCACATTTATAGTCACAGTTATCACGAAGCCTTGAAAAGACCTGTATCTGGTTCAGATTTTCGTCATAAATTTGACCAGCAGGAACAGCAAGGTGAGAAAGCTCCAAATCAACAACAACAACAAAATGGAGACAAAAATGCCGGAGCAGATGTTCATAGTAGTCAGGAAACTATAAAGCAACTTGAAGAACCAGGAATTTTACCAGAGGATGAACACACGTCAGAAAAGCAAAGATTGGTGCAAAAATTGTCTTTTAGGTTGACGTCCGAGTATGGCACACAGCAGAGCGAAAGTAAAGGTACTATCCATTTTTATATCAAAATATTTAAAATATATCACTTTCGGTTCTTAAATTATACTTTCTGAAATACTTTTATTTTTTAGATGAAAATACTGAGTCAATAGAAATGCAACCTCTAAATCCAACACCACAGCTTAAACCTCAAATCGTACCAAAATCCCGTACCTCATCTGCCACAAATACACCAACCCCTTCCAAAAAGCCCGTAGAAGCAGTAGCCTCGGACAAAGGCAATGGCAAGAGACCATGGTTGGCTTTGGTTTCTTACGTTGATGATCTGACTGTTGGAGGTCGCAGAGACTCTCAGGGTCAATATGCCGATGGCATGGGAGGTTTTCCTAGATTTGGGAGAAATAAACAAGCAAAAGTTCCCCAAGATTGCTTTCCACAACACTGCTACCAGCGTTGTTCCTGTTGGGAAGCTTGTGCTGCCACCGAGACTGGACAGAAGTGGAACAGAATCCGGGCGTCAATTCTTTCAGTTGTTGATACTCCTGCATTTGAATGGTTCATATTAGTGTTGATTTTTGCATCAAGCATCACATTGTGTTTTGAAGATATTTATTTAGAAGGGAACAAACCGTTGATCGAAATATTATATTGGACTAATTTAGCGTTCTGTTTAATTTTTACTATTGAAATGGTACTGAAGTGGATGGCGTTTGGTTTTCAGAAGTATTTCACGAGTTTTTGGACTATTTTGGATTTTATAATTGTTTTTGTAAGTAATATTTGTACATTTATCTCGTTTTAAAGAATCGAATTATCTCATTGAATTTATTATTCTATTTTTAGGTATCAGTCTTTAGTTTACTAATAGAAGAAAATGAAAACTTAAAAGTGCTTAGATCTCTTCGTACTTTAAGAGCCCTGCGTCCACTTCGAGCAATTTCCCGCTGGCAGGGAATGCGAATTGTAGTAAATGCTTTGATGTATGCCATACCCAGCATTTTCAATGTACTACTTGTGTGTTTAGTCTTTTGGTTAATATTTTCCATTATGGGTGTGCAATTTTTTGGAGGAAAATTTTTTAAGTGCCTGGATGACGATATGGAAATATTACCTGTATCGGTAAGTAGTCAACCAAAAAAATTTAAAGCACATATTAAATACTGTTTTGTTTGTTTGTTTAGATTGTAAATGATAAGTGGGAATGCGAGGAGAAAAATTTTACGTGGAAGAATTCAAAAATAACTTTTGATCACGTTGGGGCTGGATATCTAGCATTATTTCAAGTGGTATGCATACATCTTTGTCTACAAATTTTTTTTTAGAATGTTATCCAAAATCTTGATAATCTAAAATATGTTTTTTGTATTTCAAGGCAACTTTTGAAGGATGGATGGAAGTTATGGCAGATGCAGTGGATGCACGTGGAGTAGATTTACAACCTGATCGAGAGGCTAATCTTTATGCTTATCTTTATTTTGTTATTTTTATTGTGTGCGGTTCGTTCTTCACTCTTAACCTATTTATTGGAGTAATTATAGATAATTTCAATATGTTAAAGAAAAGGGTAAGTGTTTATTTATCAAGTATTTATCTTTATTATTATAAATTAAATCAAAATTTACTTTGTAGTATGAAGGAGGTGTTCTGGAAATGTTTCTCACAGAAAGTCAAAAACATTATTACACAGCGATGAAAAAGCTCGGTCGGAAGAAACCGCAAAAAGTGATCAAGAGACCCATTAATCAATTTCTAGCATTTTTCTACGATATCAGCAACTCCAGAAGATTCGAAATTCTCATATTCATATTAATATTTCTAAATATGCTCACAATGGGTATTGAACATTATGGTCAACCAGATATCGTGTATACAATTTTGGATGTCAGCAACGCTTTTTTCACTACAGTCTTCAGTTTAGGTAATAACAGCTAAATATTTATTACATAAAAATTAACATTAGCTAAAATATATTTGTATTGCAGAAGCGATAGTGAAGATGATAGGTTTACGTTGGCATTACTTCACAGTTCCTTGGAATTTGTTTGACTTTTTATTAGTTTTAGCAAGTATACTTGGTATTTTAATGGAAGACATCATGATTGATTTACCAGTTAGTCCTACACTTTTACGAGTTGTACGAGTCTTCAGGATTGGAAGAATTCTTCGATTGATAAAGGTATACATTTTTATCTGTCTTGAAATACTTACCTACTTATTATTGTGATATTTATTTTTTTTCTTGCATACTTAATGTTGTTATTAATTATTTATTTATTAATTTATGTTTTGTTACTAAAATATAGAATCATTTGAAACATTTTTTTAATAATTTGTGCTTGCAATTATTAATTTTGTATATTTGTTACATAATGCATATGTTTTCATATTGTTTCTCATAATTTATGTTTTTCTTTATGTATCAATTATGAGTTCTTCCTGATTTTTACGATTTTGACGATCTTCCAGCGGTATCATGAACGAAGGGTAAGAATTAGTATTTAAAATATGTACTACCAAAAATAAATTGCTACATAACATCATAATATATTACTAACAAATTTGAAATGTTTAATTATTTTTGAATGGCACATGAAATGTATATTTATTTTCTTTTTATTTTGTATCTGGCCTTTTGACTTTCATGTAGTTCTAATATCAATGCATATGTTTTTTATTCCTAACCACATTCATGACTCAAATTCTAAAATTATCATTCTTCATTCGTATTTCAAAATTGTTCTAATTAACTGATTTATAATTTTCTTATTCTAGGCTGCGAAAGGCATAAGAAAATTACTCTTTGCCCTTGTAGTATCTTTGCCAGCACTGTTCAACATTGGCGCTTTGTTGGCTTTAATAACTTTTATTTATGCCATAATAGGCATGTCTTTATTTGGCCATGTGCGGACTCAAGGCGCCCTCGATGACATGGTGAACTTCCAAACATTTGGACGTAGTATGCAACTGTTATTTCGGTTAGTTGATTTGAATATATTAATAAAATAATACTATTGACAATATATTTATTGTGTTTTATTTATTTTTAGTTTAATGACTTCGGCAGGTTGGAACGATGTTCTAGAATCTTTAATGATCCAACCGCCGATATGCGATCCATATTATAATGGTTTGTCAAATGGTGATTGTGGCTATCCATTGCTGGCCATCACATATTTTACGAGTTTTATTATCATTAGTTATATGATAGTGATAAACATGTATATAGCTATTATTCTAGAGAATTTCAATCAAGCACATCAAGAGGAAGAGATCGGAATTGTTGAAGACGATTTGGAAATGTTCTACATTAGATGGTCTAAGTATGTACTGCGTAAAAGTATGAATTATATTTTAAATCTTATTCAACTATAAATTTTACCATTAATTTTTTAGATACGACCCTCATGCAACACAGTTTATAGGTTTCAATCAGTTATCAGATTTCATAGCATCATTAGATCCTCCTTTGGGTATCAGCAAGCCTAATACAGTTGCTTTGGTCAGTTTCAACTTACCTATAGCCAAGGGCGACAAAATTCATTGTCTGGATATCTTGCATGCTTTGGTAAAACACGTCCTAGGTCATGTTGAAGAAACCGACGATTTCAGACAATTACAAGACCAAATGGACGTAAAATTCAAAAAACAATTCCCTACTAGGAAAGAACTAGAAATCGTATCATCCACCAGACTTTGGAAACGAGAAGATAAGGCAGCAAGGTTGATTCAGAAGACTTTTAGAGAGTACGTGAAGTAAGTGCTTTTAGGTAGAATTTTAGTTGTAACGGCTCCGACTTGATCGTAAATTCTGAAGAATCGTGTCAGGGTACGTCGTGATTTTTATGCATTTTCATATAAATTAATATATAATAATTAATATTTCATATAAATTCTCACCCTGTTAATGGTGCATTACTATTTATACACCTATTTCTTCAAGTTTAATATTTGATTTGATTTTGACTTAATTAAGTAATTTCATTAATTCTACTTAATTATCATTATTGAAAGTTTTGGAGCTCTTTCTTTCCTCAGTACTAACTTTCACTAAGTTTCTATTATGAAAATGAATCAAAATCATAGTTTGAAATAGCATGTTTCTTGAATTATTTTTTATGGTTGCAATTTAAACAAACTTAGCTTTTCCAAATTTGTAAATATATTTTCTGCTTGGTGACTGGTTTCAAAATTAGTAGACTTATATAGAATTTTTTTTATAATCGACACAAATTTATTAAACACAAACATGCATTTTATAGATATGCTATAGCATATTTTATAGTATAGGTATGCTATAATACAATATACTCGTTAGAAGGAATGAATTTGTATACGCTGTATATTGCTTTGAAAATTTGATTTTTCATTCAATAAGTAGATGAAACATTATTAATTTAAACTTATGTGGTATGATAATTAGTGTAGAGCAATTGACTTATTTGAAAATTATACAAAGGTCCTAACCAGCTTTATATAAAATTACATGTAAAAACATCATAAATATTAGGGTTTATACAAAAACCGACATTTTAGAAAACCGGTTTTCGAATTTTTATTTTACTAAAAAAACGGTTTTAACCGGTTTTCAAATTTTATATAGAAAGTAAATTTTTGCTTGTACATTCTTTAATTTATCCGCAAATTTAGTGTAATATAGAGCAGTATTTGACTAAATTTATTTATTGTTCAATTTTATAGATAGTAAACAAAATTATTTTAATTTTAATTTGTAGAACTAAAAAATAATAGTTTATCTTGATTAAATAAATTTGAAAATAGTTATACGTATTTATGCATCATTTGCACATATAAGAATGAAAATATTTTAATGATAGTGAAAGAAAGATTTTCGAATAAATAAAACTAATACATTTCTAAATGAAAAAAAATCATCAAATTAAAAAAAAAATATTAGATATATTTTGATACATACTTTTTAATATCAATTTTTGTTTCAAAAACAATTAAGCTAAACTCGGGTATTGTCTGTTCCGAGTAATTTTAATTAATTTATTTTAAACATTCTAATTGTTTTTTGTTTAATAAAATGCGATTTCAAAAATCTGAGAACGTCTAAAATATAAAGCCTGATATAATAATTCCAAGTTTTTTGTTCTTTAATTTGTGGCTTCTAGGGTTTAAAACTCTTTTTTTTTAAGTTTGAGTAGAGGAAGTTACTTCTTCAAGAAGAAGTCATACTGATTTAAATTAATATAAACACTGGAATAAAAATCTAAATTAATATATACAAAACTTTTCTGGGAACCATTGCAGACTGATAAGATATCAAATGCTATAGAAATGATATGATTTCAAGAATCAAAATGCTTTCATCTATCTTTTATATTTGGCTATATTTGTCATTTTCCATTTATACAGTGAAAACCGACTTTTTCCACTAAAAAACGGTTTTCGAATTCCATACTTTTCGCCAAAAAACCGTTTTTTAAAACCGGTTTTTGAAAACCGACAAACCCTAATAAATACGTTTATGACGCTGAATATTTTACTTACTTTTACTTATTAGGTATAATGATTTTAGATATTAATAATTAACTTATCGTTATACTTGTACTGAATTGTTTGAACATAAATTACTATAAGTTGATTTAATAATTCCATCTTGAGCTTAAATAAATTTATTTTGCGCTTGCTTTCTGAAGTGATTAAATTTCTAAAAGAATTATTTGTGAAATCTAATATTTGAATGGTGATTACTAGATGGAAACAAGAACGAGATCGTGATAACACGGAATGCGATGATGAAGTAACTCAGACGTCCAGTCCTGGTGGCTGGCAAGGCCGTCTCAGCGCCTTCCTGCACGTTCATCGCGGATCCAGGGCGAGTTCGCGAAAAAGCTCACGGGCTAGCGATGCCAGCGATCTTAGCGAATTAGGAGGTAATAATTTAATGTATTGCTTATTTGAGCAAAATAGTTAATTTAATTAGCAAACTAGAACTTTGCTAATTGTAAAATTGGTACTTGAAAAATATTGTTTATTTATGGGATATTTGATTTATATTAGGGGCTTGGTTAAATCTGCCATTGATGTTACTGAGTGGAGCAGTGCAAGCCGAAGATGATGGCAGTGGCCCATCTAAAGATGTCAGTATCATGGTGAGCGAACCTTCACCCGATGCATCTTCGCCGCCACTTGGATCATCTTTGCAGGCGAAAGATAAAACTTCGGGTCGACGAAGAAGCTTTTATAACTTTCCATTTTTATTAAAACATCAAGATGCCGTTGAGCATGAAGATGAAAATTCACCAACCAGAATAAGGGTAAGTAATATACTAGTTATCACATATAATTTATTGCTTATTATTAAATTATTTGATTTCTCATCAAATAAGAGAAATATAACGATTAGATACATATGAAGTATGAGAACTGCAAATTTCCAATTGCAAGCAAATAGTTTGCAATTATTTACTTGCAAATTTTTTTTTACTTGCTTCATTTTACGGTAACAGGAGGCCAATTCTTCGATAACATAGACTTCCATAACTCCGATAACGTTGCCATAACAACGCTATGTTACGGTCCATTTTACTAGCGAATTTGGCCCATTAACGTTAGTTTTCATCATGTTGATTAAAACATCAAATCACATTTTATTCGGCACCCTTATCTGAAATTTTATAATCTGTTATATTACAATACATAGGTCATTTGAATTAGCTATAATACTAATTTTACATTACAACTAATTGTTATAATTTTACGTAATAGCTATTTTTGTCTAACCTTATGCAATATCAATAAGATGACGACTTACGTCTACCTTTCATTACATTTAAAAATCGACCATTGGAAAAGTTCTACAATTTTATCAACTTATATAAAATATTTTACTTATATGAAAAGGCGGTTAACTTGTTTTTTTTTTTGTTGCAATTGTTGATGTTGTGCAAGCACGTTTGTTAAAGATCTATATTATTATTAAAAAAATGAAAAAATGTCTTTATTAGTTGGTGACAACTATTTTTATTCAATTTATATATTTATATATATATATATATATATATATATATATATATTACTTATGAAAAGCACTGTGTATGAGATGCCTTTGCTGCTAACTTGATTATAATCGTTATTTAAGACACAATATGTATTAGTAAGGTGACCATATTCTTTTAATTGTTGCATTGTTCTTTATGCTAAATAACTTAAATATGGTTTGAAATAACAGTTAATATTTAAGATACAATAAAAATAAGTTGTTATTTTTAAATTAATCTGTTTTTTTTAATCAAATATACTGACGTTTAATAAGAACTATTAGGTTATGTTTGGAGTTTTGAATTCGACAACGTATTGTTTGATATTATCATGCTCATTGTATATATCAGTTTCAGATATTTTATGGGTAATTATAATTTTATTATCAAGTAATTGCGAAAATTCAATTTAAACCTATAATTTTCAAAAACTCACGACAAAAGTTTTAAATGCGGGACAATTATTGCACTTAGAAAAACCTGAGACACTAGGTTGAAATCCGGGTTTGTCCCGGCCAAACGGGGTCGTATGGTCACCTTAGTATTAGTAGTCTTAAAAATATAATTTAAGTATATTATTTCGTTGATTTAGTCTAAATCAAAGTCACCCGAAAAAACTGTCTCCGCATCAACTGAGATTCTCCCCATCGTGAGACGCACGGCCGGCATATTAGCGCCCGTAAATGTCGATCAGCACGTCAAGAGGGGAAGTCTGATCCGCAGACGCCCGTTGGAGCGCGGCCTATCTGGCCAACTGCGGCCGAGCGGCAGCTGCCTTCCCGTCTTCCCACTGTCTCATACGGAACCCGTGGCTAGAACTCCGGACGTTAGTATTTTAATTACAGAACCATCTCCTGATACTGCAGTACCTCTTAGTACCATAAACACGCCACAGGATTCTGACCGATCTTTGACGGACGATGTTGTTCCTCCGCCTACGACTGTGGTTCATGCATTAGTTCACAGAGAAAGCGAGGAATATAGATCACAAGAGGATTTGAGAGATCTAGAGAGGGAAATTGATAGTTGATCTTCGTTGTATGTTTGGAAAAGAAGTCAAAGTGAACGCAGAAAGATTTGATCCAAGCTAATTGCTGGCGGTAAGCGCTTTTTCCAATTTTGTCTTTTCTAAAGTCTATTATTACTTAATATTAAGTTTGTTGATTCGGATCATAAATTAGGGGGAAGTCCCCGAGTGCCGTACACCTAAGGTTATTTATAAATAAATCAAAAAATATTTTACGAAATGTTTATTAAATTATGACTTATGTTAAATAACAAAGTTAGAAATCAAACTAAATTAACAAAAACGCAATCTTTTCTAAACCATAATTAATACTTTCAATCAAACTTTGGTAACAAAAAATGTGATTTTACGAAGTGACACCTAGTACCGGATATTTCAAAATAACGAGTATTGAACACATATGTAGCCATCTCCACACTCTGAAATATCTGCACATTTGTTTTTGACGAATATTCTTAGATATTGCAAAAAATATCACTATTTATCTACCCTTTTGGCTGGGCCAGACGGATGCTCTCAGCTGGAGCATTCATCGTAAGATTTTCATTCTTTGACTAGGAAATACGAAAAATGGGGGTATGTAGTGACTTTTAGCACTCATACAGAACAAAGTTAAATAATAAGAATAAATTACGTCAATTCTCACAAGAAATATTAATATGGTTACTCTCCGGCGCTAAGGGACGACTTAGTGTCCGGTGCTAAAGAACAGACATGTTCATTCATTTGATGGTACCTACTAAAATTGTTTAAAATATCGAATTATATTCTACTATTTTACGGATAACAATCAAGTACTACTACTTATATCTTTGCATACCACAGAAATGTAAATGCATAAGTATACTAGATTAACTTCCATTGATATTCAGGTCACGCCGTGATTTTGCGCTTAAAACAGCAAAGGGTTGCTTTCGCCGTGGCCGTGTGCGTCACAGGTGAGTCTTGGCGCGTGATCCTGCACCTGTGTGCCCCCCGCGCCCCTCTCACTTGTATTTTGACATAAAAAGTTTTATACTCGCTTAAATAATCCGTGTTAAATAGAGTGTCCGGTATTAAGTGCCGTCCGGCGTTACGGGACTTCCCCCTATATAAAGTTTTCTGTAAGTTTATTATGTTTACGCACACCTAGACTAAACTGTATTATCTCAAACAATTTTTTGATTAGAATATATATGAAAATATAGAGTGATGAAAATTATTTTTATTTAAATTGAAAATGTAAAATCTAATCATTTTCACCATTGCTATAATTTTGAGGTAATTTACTTTTAGTCTAGGATTGACACGTGTTAATTCATGTAATACAGATGCATGATACAATTTTTAAAACAAATGATATTTAAGTACAAATTGTAAGCACATTCTATACTTTATCCCTATGTTTTGTCTTCTACCTTGTTGCAGCAAAAAAGTTTGAGAAAAACTCGCCTTCAAAATTATAATTCTGTAAAATAAACGATACAAAACAGTAGACTTTTTGCGATTAGCTAGTGCAAATATTCAATTTGTCAATAAAACTGTACATTTGATCATAAATAATTTCCATATTTGAAGTAGTATAAAGTGTTAAATCATATGTATGAGTGTTTTTACTATATGCATTGATGCATGTCGATTTATAATAGTGTAAAATATCGATATACATATATTGCGGATTGAATTAACCCAAATATTTTCTATTTATTTATAATAGAGATTATTTAAATTTAAAAGTTGTTAGAATGTGTGTATTAAGAAATTTAAATGTTTGAGATAGTTTTGCAAGTAGGTCAATTTTTATAAAAGGCTATAAATATCTTTGTATAAGTATGGTAGAATTTGTGGTTTCTGGCTCTTACAAATTCAATATGCGTAAAAAATCGGCTTGTGAGACAAAAACCGATGAAGTATAGACGTCAAAATTTTTAAATCACTAATTAATATAAAATTTGTTAAATTCATTAGTATAAAATAATATATAAAAATAAAAATGTATATATTCTTCAGCATTTATAAAAAAAATATTAACATTGTTATTATCATCGCTTCGAAATTTTATAGCAGATATTAATTTATTTGATATGTACAAACTGCAGTTACAACTTGACTAAATATATTTAAGTCGCTTAATATTATTAATATATTTAATATTCAAACGTAATACTCATTAATGATATAAATAGTTATGTAATATACGCGATGGGCATAGATACAAATATATATTTGTATATTTCTGATATGTCCCATCGCTTCGTGTAAGGTCTAACATCAAGCTTATTACAAAACAGTATTATGTGAAAAATCATCACATGTTTTATGATTTTTTTCATTTTTTATTACTTTAGCGCATCATCATATCGGAAAAATGGGCTAATTGTAGATAGTTAAGTAATAGAACGGATAAAGTATAATTTTTGATTATAATAGAGCATTATAAGAATGATAAATGTAAGAAGTATTGTATTAACATTTGTGCTAACACTAAATCTGCAAATACTGACTCCAAAATTATACTAAAACTACACTTTGTAATTTACTTGACATAAAATATTCAGGATTTAATTTTTGAAAATCTGATTCCAAATTTACAAACGGAAACTAAACTTGGTATATTTCTCATCACGTATAATTTTTCAAACGACAGAATTTGCCAAAACTTTATTGATGTCCAACGTACTATTAAATATTTACTAATTATAGCAGTGCACAACATTTATATGAAAAACTTGACCATTCCAGAAGATATTTCATAAATTCTTAATATTTTTATTCTCATATGTTTATACAATTAAAATAGAGTAATTAATAATTTTAGATGAGTTACCTCCATTATTTTAATATCGACAAATCTTATACAAAGTTTAATGTAAATACATTTATAGATAATCAT